TCACTTAAAGGTATTATGTGTAGGATTTTCACTGAACATTACACTACCAAATAGAATAACATATGTGCTACAACATATAGTCACTATGAGCTGCTTCATAGCAGCAAAGTTGATTATTCTTCCCCGTTGCTTCTCAATATTCAGCTACCAGTCTGCTTTTCAGAAGCAAAAGTGACCGACTCATGGACTTCATCCAAAATCAAAAATGCCTGTTCCAGGATTCAAAACAAGAATCACTGACTGTTTAATCAAACAATGGAATATTCATCAGATAACCAGAGGTAATGTCTTAACTCTAACATCCATGTCCAAGTCATATTTTAACAGTATTACATCTTCTTCAATTGGAGAATACTACACATAGCACCTTTAAAATCATTTTCACTTTGAACTGTGGCTCAGATCACTGAAAATACAGTAAGAAATCGTCAAACGGTGCACAAACCATTAAGAAAAGAAAACAAAAAACAATCACAGTTGAAGAAGCAACTACAGCATAGCCATGGGGGTACATCTAGAAAGTTCTGGTACCGATGAATTGAGCGTTCTGTCACAGAGAATCACTGAGTGTTGACATTTCTGATGTGTTGCTGAGAATTTGATATGTCAACGCCTTCGAAGCACGCAAACGGACACAAAAGATCTTCGCCGTGTGCCTGAGTGATGGAGGTAGAAATGCTGGGCTAATGGTTAAAATCCAGCATAGGCAAGAATTAATTATTCAACCCTTTTATTTACCTCAAATATTGGTTTTACGGTGTATTTATTAGAAGTGGCATATGGCTTACCTGTGGCACAGTCTGCAACCTCACTCTGAACTGTCAAAAGTGCATTTACTGTTGTCGTAGAGGGGAAGGTTAGACTTGTGGCGGACTTAAAGGGACAGTTAAAGCACGTTATAGGAAATACGTTTGTTTTCTTGTCAACAATTAGATGAGAGAATCCATAAGTACTCAGATGTCCACACAGCCAATATGAAGCTGCAGCCAGCAGTTATTAGCTCCTCAAAGCGAACATCTGTCTCCACGGAGTGAAGAGTGTTAGCAGCGTGTTGTGAAAAAGGATTAGGGAGACGGTAAACTCAGCATTGAACCAATTCTGAAGAAATCTGACTCTAAAATCATTAGTTTGAGAAAAGTCAAAGAAGATGAGGCAAAATTTTACAGTGGCCTTAACCATCTTCTGTAAGTTAGGTGTAGGTCACCTGCGTTTTACAGGCGCACAGAACTTAATACACGCTGAAATGATAGTAGGTACATGCGTAAAAGAGACTTGAGGGCTAAATATACGTTTCAGGGTCATGTGTATGTTATAGGACATGTGAGCCTTTGCCCCAGTGTAGCAGACAGATGTATTGATTAACACAGAAGCCTCTTCTGATCTGTGTGTGACACAGATGGCTCAACAACACAGTTAAAGGCTGGATGTACAGACATGGCGGAACAGTTAAAGCTTATTTAATTTATTGTCTTCTTTTAATTTGTATGTATTTTTAAAAAAAGCAAGATGGAAACTGTCATTCCCTGTGCGTTAGAGATGCTGGTAGGCAGACTTTGGTCACTTTTCACAGAGCTAGGCGATAATTAGCCAGCCGCCTGCCCGCTGCAGTTTCATAGTTACTGTTCGGACACAAAAAGTGGCATCAATCTTCTCATCTACAGTAACTCTTTTCAAAAAGGTAAACAAGCACAATCCCCAAAGCGTCAGACTTTTGTTTTAAGTTCTCCAAGAACAACACTAGTCACCAGTGTTACTGATGCTCAGAACATTTGTATTAAACACAAAAAAAGCACAGATATCTGAAACTAAGTAAGACTAGAACAACACCGCTGGCCACACTTCATTAGCTTAGAAAATTAATGGACAAATAGCTGAGCTTATATAAACTGCAGGTCTGATATCAACTTGTGAGGTTTGACTTTACTGGCTTACCAGAACTAAAATACTTTAATACAGATCAAACATAACTTTAAATTTCCTTTATAGCCAAACTGACAGTATAGAGAAACCGGCTGAACCAGCTGAGCCTGAAGTGCTGCTATGCTGCTTGTTTCTTTTGGCAACCGAATTCTCTGCAACAACTGATTTTCAGTGCCAGCATCACTAGACGTTAGACATTGAATGATGTGGAGTCAATTATGATGCTACTACGTGTCTTTATTAATGTTCACTAGATGCTCATAACCTTTGGACAACAGTTGGAGGAAAGTGTGGAGAAATACGTTTTAGCTCGAACAGAAACGCTATTTAAATATCACAGTCACATTGCAGTTCTTCACATTTGACAGGCACATAAAGTTACAGACTGGCCTTAAAAGTTAAAATGGCTTTTGTTTTGTCACATTTCACATCAAGCCATATCAGAAGCAAACTGAGATATTTATTTATAATATTTTCCTTTTACTCTGGAACACTTATGGCTAACCCTTTTAAATGTGGGAAACAAATCATTTTCTCATGAGTCATTCCAAGACAAATAGTGACCATTTCTATTGTTTTCCATATGACTAGACAAAAACAAGACAATGGAAATCTGTGAGCACCATTGGAAATCTTTCAGTGAGGTTCAACATTACACTACTCCCAACAAGTATTGAGATCCTCTTAGACCTTATTGAACTGAGATTAAAACAAAGATATATTCCATATGAAAGAAGGTGGAGAAAAAAAAAAAAAGACGGGGTAGGGAACTGATGTGAATGAGCTGATGAGCTGAAATATACATTTAATGATATTATAGTGGCGGCTTATCACATTGTAAAGTGTAGTTAAATAAAACTGCCTAAAAGATTTGTGAAAAATATTGGTGCTGGTGTTACGATGTGTATCCTAACACATACCACTAACAAGCCAACTGGTGATTTTCCAAAGGTGCTTTCCACATTTTTCCAAAGCATCCTGATATTGTTAACGCAGATTCATCCTGTCATTTGTACAGGAAACAAACTTGAAAGTTTGCATTCTAATTTGGTATTTAAGGGGATCTGGTTTCGTGTTCAGGTTTAGGTGCTCCTTTAATCCTGAGAAGTTCAAAATTATGGCCCAGATGATTTGGAGCATGTAAAGTGACATTCTCAAATAATGCAGTTGTAAATCAATCTCTGTACACCCGTAAAATAAATTTGCATGAGAAAATCAAGTTTGTGCAAAACTCAAGCTTCCCACAACGAGTAGTCGACGCTTAAGGTGCAATTTTGACTCTGTCTTTACGTTTGAATCTGATTGGATTGTCACAGTCACAAGGCAGGGTCACACTGTCCAATCAGACGCTGTCATCTCCACTCTCCCTGAAAGGAGCAGCAGGTTTTCAAGAAAGATGACGGCCCACGTGGTTTCATTATTTTGTGCTTTGTTTTCAAACACAAACGCTCACAAAAACGATTTCTTTTTCTGCTGATGCACAAGCTGGACTTCTCATGCAGATTTATTGTGCGGGTTTACAAAGGCTGATTCACAGCGATCAATGTTTTTGCAACCATCGCGTTATAAGCTATTCCTGCCCCCACTTTTTTTTTTAATTTTAAACCCACGTAAGGAAACCATTAATCAGTTTAGCAAAAGAGAGCCGTCTTTTGTCTTCCAAGGAAATAAATAAAAGGAAACTATGTCAAGCAGTTCCAGCAAACTGTACAATCCTACATCGAGAAATGACTTCTGATTGACAGACGGACAAAGAAGCTCAGCGAGTGTATGAGGGGAGAGATACGAATGGTTATGCATGTCGTCCTATTCAGTGCGGGTTGAGAATTACACACCTAATATTTGACTCTGTGTGAAACTAAACATATATAGTTTAGGTTATTTAAAAAATGTTTTTTATTTAGTTATTTAATGCAGGTAATAAGACTTCAGGTGGCACCAGATGCTTGAGAATGATGCCCAGTCCTCTATTGAGAGAGCTGTAGTGACGTTTAACTAATGAAAGAAAATGAACACAAAACACAGGGTTTTATGGGAAAAAGAAAACAAACGTTGATATTTGATTGTCGGCAGTTCTTAATGCTCAAAGGGCATCCAAGAACTAAATCATTCCTGGACAGATGCTCTCATATTAGCCTACGGTGTTTCTTTATCGTTGCACCAGAGAACATAATCTGCCCTACAGAGTGCAGAGATACACACTCAGTTGGGAGTTAAAACTAATGCATTCTAATATAACAGTCCTGCAATAACATACAAAACAAAACTGCTTTCACAAAGGTCTGTTTTTGCAGAGAGGTGTGGATTCAGCCATATGGTCAAGTTGGAGAACTGTGGTGCTGCCTGTCTATTATTATTATCTCATTTATATCAGTGAGTAGAGGCAGGAAAACCGAAATGTTTCTCTGTACGTTGCATTACAACTCAACAGAACATTGTTGTATTAGACTGAATTAGTGTTAGTTTGAGTACGCATTACCTGTATCATGGGGGACCAGCATTTGATTTAGATAAATAAGACATTTTGACTTTAACATCACCTGTGTGTTTTTAACCCTCTGAACTCCATTTTCTGCTTCTGTCACACTTTTACTCACTGTGGGCTCATTTTTTACTGCAATATAAAGTTCTGCCCCTCTATGGAAACAGAACAATCATGGCTAGAAGTAGAAAGAAGTCAAACATGTCTTCTGTGCTGTATAACACAGTAATAATGCTACGAACCCAAAAAACAAAACAAAAAAAAGTTGATTTTTTTGATTATTTATCTAACTGACAAAAACTTTTGGAAACAATACGTACAGTAATTTTCCAATCACCCACAGGTGTTAACAACAGTGGAAAGAAACGGGGGTTTCACATCCTATAAATATTTTACCATGTAGATTTTTAATTGGTTTCCACGTCTGTCTGCTCTATAAACACAGCATGCAGCTGTAAAAACACAGAAACGCTACTGAAATGTCACATGACTGTCGCAGCTGAGTCACTCGTGGCTTCTCAGTTGTGTGGACAATCACAGAATTTCTTTTTCTTTTCTTTTTAACAGGACCTAGTCCAAAACGTCATTTATTTTTTTAAAAGAATTTTTAAGAAGGACATAGAATAAAGTGTTTCTGATAATATATCACAGCGTTTAATGGGTTGTACACTTAGATTTAGTTATTTGTAGACAGAACAACACATCCTACATGATACATCCCTTCAAAGGGTGAAAATCTAGTTTGTGGTTTTGGTAAATCGAGTAGTTTTGGTGATTTTTAAAGATAAGACGCCTTTTGAAACCCGCCAGCAGGTTTTGGGGTTCAGAGGGTTAAGCTGCTATTGACATTGCACTTTAAATCCTTAATAACCGAATATCTGAAACACCTTTTCCATGATATCTTCAACAAAACACCAACACGTTATGCAGGCAGGCCATTTAATACCCACTTAACAGTTAAAGTTTAACCACTACAGTTTTGTCACACACACTGTATTTCCCAACTTTCAAACTGCAGGTGCACCGAGGAGATCTGAACATGAAATCACCGGCTACTGCAAAATCTGCTAGTGTAGTTCTCCTTTAGCAAGTTGTAATATTGTTAAAATAATGAGATGTGGTATCTGTGTTAAATGAGCATTCATTTTCTAAAAATATCATTGGATTTGCTTCAGTTCTTGCATATTTTCAACAAGACTACAGGGTGGGAATTTCTTCCTTTTCACATGTTAAATAATAAATGAAGTACCAGCCCTTTTTGAAAAAGAAAAGTAGTAACATAGAGTAGGAATGGTAACAACTTTGTTGCCTGTAGTTGCTCAAGCTGCAAGTGATTTGAATGTAATAGTATCATAACATGCTGGTCATTGTGACATCCAGAGATTCACCCTGAATATGGCCAAAAGTTTGACAGTTAGGACCTGAGAGTTTGGCAAACTGCTGTTGAGATTCACTTTATGAGATTAGGTTTGTAAGGTAATGACCATCTAAGGTTTTCTACATGGGAACTCGCAAATTATTTAATCAAAAGCAATACTTCAGATGGGCTAAGTCCTTTTAAACATGCTCCTGAACCCTGATTCATGTGTTTAACATGGAACCTTGAGGTGCTGCATGTGAATTTAACTGTTAGAAATCATAAAGACTGAAGATTTGGCTTTTTTTTTTTTTTTTTGTTACCGTATGCTCTGTATTCGTTTGAGTAGATTCTCAGTCATCCAGGTTATGACAATTGCTTCAGTAGAAGGCAAATGGACTTCTTTTTGGCTCTTAAAGACATACCGGTTTCCTTAACTCCATCTGTCTCTGTCTAGAATGTGAACACAGCTGTCCTTAAAGAGCATCTCTACTCTCTAGATGCTGGTGCACTGCTGAGACTTGTCCTGAGGGGATACAGTATGTCTCCTGTATTGTGCTTGTGGAGCAGTTGTTTATTCTCCCCTATATAAAGGTCTGTGCACTCCTCATTGCATTGGACTGCAACCATCTCTAAATAGAGGAGGTGGTCAATGCCTCCACTTATCAGGTACTTATAACACCATCCTGAGACACCTTCCCAAGATTATTCCATTGACGCTTTGAGTCATCTCTCACCTGGTGGTTTCACAACCACTCACACCTTGAGTCATGAGAGTCTTGGGTTGTTAGGAATAAAGACCAGTCAGTATGAACTGAAGAAACCATTTGGATGAGAGATTGAATGTCTTCAAAAAAAACATAAAAAGGAGTCCAGTTGCCTTCTTCTTTGGAACATATTTGTTTCACTCCTTTTTCTAAAAGCTAAAAAGAAAACCTCTCTTCCATGTCAGACTTGGAAAACAAATAGCAAAACACTACAGCTTTTCACATCCCTAACTATATGTGTGTCGATGCCATTAGAAGTGGATTAAAGTGTCTTCGACTAACAGAGTATGCTTTTAATCAGGATTGTGCTTCGGTATGATGATACACTGAAAACAGAAATTAGGCCCTCGGTGCAGAGGTAGGTGTATGCTTGTCATGAGCAGTGAATTAAGTTTGCGAATATATCGACTGGTTTGACTTTATGAAGAATTTGAAACAGAGTGAGAGTTGATTTCAGTGATATGGAGTGATTGTTAAGCTTGGGGTAATGTGATAAGTATTGCTTAAAGGCTGTGGATCAGAGAACTTAAATGAGGCATGCCTAAACACCTCGATTGTTACAAGGCCCCACACGACTAGCATAGTTTTTGCATTACTGGATCATGGATTAAAGGAACACTCCACTGCTTTTGTTTTTTAAATCTTTGCACACTTTGTCAGGCAAGTAGAAATGTTTGTATAGATGACTCCAGTGGAAACATTAGCGTGTTAAATGTTAGCAAACTGAGACTAAAAAGAGGTAAATTGCTGGTTAGCATCACGCCTTAATGCCGCTTTCATTTTAAGTAAGATAGAAGGTAGAGATGGGAAAGAGTCCTACGTTATGACTTGCAAGAGTTCACATCATCCTGATGTTGAAGAGTAGAGCTGACCCTGTGAAAATGGAAATACTGTGCACTGGTAATATAACACCATATCCTTTAAAACTGTGTTTAATTATATTGAACACTGGTCTTTGGCTGACATGGAGTCTCCATACTTGTTTGTTTTTTAGGCACTTCCTCATAATTACACTAATATCATAGTATGATAGTTTTATTAAGCGACAAGACCAATATATTTGAGCTTTCAAAAATATCTCAAATTCTGGTTTGTAATCAAGGTTGATGTAAATGTTATTTACAAGTCAAAAACTTCAACTCTAAAATGGAGAGGTTGAGTACTCTGTGTTGTAGGAATAATGGAAAGAGGTCTGAAGAATGGTAAATGGCTTTTTCTTGGCCAATATTGTATCTAGAAGGTAGCCAATGTCATGTAGATAACATTCAAGATCCACATTAAAAGCAGTGGAGCATTCCTTTAATTAAGGGCAGGCTAATGAAATCAGTGATATGCAGCCATTTATAACAGATGGCACAGTAAACAAAATGATCAGCATATAAAAAAAAAACAAAAAAAAAAAAAAGTGCCAGTGACAACCAGCTATGGCAAATTTGCTTTTAGGAAAAATATTAAGACCACATAAAAAAGTTAACAGGACAAAACTTAAAGATACCAGTTGGCAACAAGACAAGGTGCCCACCCTTCATCATGTACCAATAAGCAAAAAGGCAATACAGGATGAAAAGCCATAAGGGAAAGAGTGGATGTGCTGGGCCAGTGTTTGATTGAAACTGGAATAAATGGTAGAAAGAGGAGTTAGTTAATACTAGTTACACATTGGTGGAGATCTTGTACTTGGGAGACATGTTATTATGGAACCAGATGAAACTAAAAATGACGCCCATGGTTTTGGGTATACGCTCGTCGTAGGCAAACGTCATGGCCTCATGCAGTGGGACTTTGACCACCTCGATAAGCTCGCCCTCCCGCGGCTCACCTCCACCTGCGCTGACGCAGTTGTCATCAGACACCTCGGCGTAAAACATGGTCTGCTTGGCACCTGTTACACCTACACCTGACCTGTAGGGGAGAAAAAAAACACATTTGCAATTATTCTTATCTTTTACACAGGGATGAGTGTCTTGACATTTTAAAAACTGTGAACACACCTGCTGTGCTGTTGCAAAAATGCCACCTCACTTTTTAGAAAATACATTTTGTTTTCTACAGTTCCATTTCCCAGCTGGTTCAACAAAACGCAAATGCATGAGTGTTTCAAGTTAAAGAATAGTCAAAATCTGTGCAGCACAGACAAAAATACAGAACGTCATACAGGCAGCGAAATGTTTCAGTATGAGACAACTGGACTTCTCTTTTTGGTTCTGCTATAAAATTCTATTCTTCTCCTACATGAGGGTTTAGATACTAACATATACACTCGCTGCTGCATTGGACTGCATACACAATGCTGCTTAGCTTGTGTGTGGAATAATTAACTCATTAATGCAGTAGTCTTTTCTTCTATGTTTAATGGTGCGCACTGAGCTCTTATAAGGGAACAGCACCAGTCAGTCGTTCAGACACATGAAGGACATCTGGGTCTAAGGAAGTCTCCTGAATGGGAGGTGAAACAGGAATCAAAAAGACAAGTCTGGTTTTCTTCTAGTGAAGCACTTGTGATTACCATGACTTGGATGACTGAGAATCTACACAGACATATTGATACAGACACATATGAATGTGGTAAAGCTTTTCAACCATTTCAGCAAAACATGACTTCTTATCTGCAGGCAGCAGTACCCTATTAGCACAGGGCTCCACTACTCAGGGTGCCTCTGTATAAAAACACCCCCATAGGTGCTATGAGGGTTAAGGTGATACCTGTCTATATAATGGAAGTAGCCCACACAAAACAATGACTATAGACAACACCAACAAAGCTGGAGGAGGTGTCCAAGTCAAATCAAAAGCATGCTTATGAGAGCCGTCAGTCAAAGCCATCCAGCTGCTGCTGTCTAATGTGGGACTGTTAGTCCTTTGGCTCTTTCAACTGCTGAGCCAAGCTCCAGCCAGCTAACAATATGTCGACAAAGATGGATGGTTTGCCTGATGCTTTTTTACAGCTCACCCACATGGCCTGTGCACTTCTAGTTTCAGAACATCCTCCAAAATAACTTGTCCGCCTCAAACTTTGAGCTATATTATTTAGTCTTGATTTACTTCCCACAGTTTTTTGACCATTTTTATTCCATCAAAATATGTGTTTTCCTTTGGTTAGATGATGTGACTTTCTAGACAGCCAACTGAACTGATATTCAAAACCCAAAATGTTTCTTTACATGATCATAAACCAGTACATCTATAGTGTCACTGACTAGCCTGCCTAACCCACTTGGAGCTAATCCATAGCTTGAAGTTCCTGTTGAACAGCCACCAGCAAACCACACCAAATGTTCTGCTGTCTGCCGCAAGAGTGAACACAAACGTCTTCATGCACTTCTAGCATCTGAGGAACTAACACTCAAGTCAGTTGCTTTTGATGGCAATGTTCCCACAACAATAGGAAAAAAACTCAGTGTTAGCATGTTGTGCGGCTAATGTGGCTAACAGGTCAGATCTCTGTGGAAACTATGAAGCTGAAGGATTTTCTGAGATGTGAGAACCTTTAAGACTGATTTGAAACCAGTAAACAAGCACTGTGTGGTTTGCTGCTATGTACCTACTCTCATATCACACACTGTGGTTCAAAGAATCCTGAAATAAGCCGGTGTTTACGCCTCTTTGCTTCTCTCCTGCCCTCTGTGCTCACATATACAGAATTTCATACAGCTGGATTCCCCATCAAGCTGTTCTCACTTATATATTTTTCTGTTTCTGTTGTCAGACAACAGAACAAGTTTGAAATGGCGACGGAAGCCCATTAAGACGACACATGAACCAGCAGTCACCTCAGAATTCCAGTTGCTGCTCTGCACGACAAGAATACTGATTTTACAATCGTAATGCTGTCTGACAAATTCACTACACATGAGGTAAAAAACAATGCCTGTGCTCTGAATTCTGCAATATTTCCATGCCAAATGATGGCTTAGAGATAAAGTTAGAAGTGATAGATGGTCCTGCTGCCGTGCTGTCAGCTGTTTCGCACTGTCAGTTACAGATGCAGAGAGAGTCTTCTTCCTGAAGGGCGTAAACAGCAGCAGCTCTGCTACATTTTAAGCTACGGACACGGAAACAGCCTGTTTAGAACAGTGTTAGAACCAGCGATCACACAGTCATGATGAAATAAATCATATTCGCAGTACTTTGAGTTGAAAATTGAAAGACACACTCTGAAGACATGCAGGTCTTTCAATAATTTTAGAAAAAGGGAAAAAAATATAGGACTTTTAAGTTTAAACCTTTAAATTAAAAGTAAAGCTGGAAATGTAGGTTATTTCTGAGTGAACGCAGCTCAAGGAACTTCAGAATTATAAATGGAAATGATATAAAATAGGACAATAGAAAATTAATTGTTAAGGGACAAGAAATCCAGTGGGAGTGACTAAAGCAGATATACATCAGATAATGGAAAACATTGTACTGAGACTTCTCTGTGATTAGAACTGACAGGTAGCAACACCTAAAAAAGACCTCGACTCAGTAAGTGTTCCTAACCTTAACCTTCAATTTTTTTTATTAGTTAAGTTCAACACGCTGTTTGTTGGATAGCTAACCTGTAAGAAGTAATCCTCTTCAGCTTGGAAGCGGGCACATCGTAGCCACACTCCTCCAGCACCTCCTGCCTGGCAATCTCCTCCAGTGAGAGGTCAGGTTTGTCCACCAGGCCGGCACAGAGCTCGTAGGTGACCCCCGCCGAGGCTGGGGGCCACTGAGAAGAGCTCTCTCCCTCTGAGGCCGACTGGCCCTCCTGAGACTCCGGAGCTGCAGCTTCGGAGGTGCCCTCCTCGGTTTTTTCAGCAGACTGAGGCGGCTGCGTCTTGGTCTTTTCCCACTCACACATGTATACAGCTAATGGTGGAAAAGAAAAAGAAAATGTCGACATGGTCTGGTGTAAATAGCAAATTACAACTGTTATGACTTTTTCTCAGTATTGAAGAAAAAAAATCTGTGGTCCAGAATGTAACTTTTTAAAAGGCCATGTACCGCAAACACATCTTTAAACATTTATTGTGTGACACAAAAAAACACCATAAACTCCATGTGTAAAATTGAATCTCATTCTAGGTTGTACACAAACTGAGTTCTTTCTGATAAGGGACAGTTTTTTTGAAAACAGCAATAAGAGAGGGGAGGAAAAAAATCTATCAATGCCCAGACTTCCTTGAATTTAGCACACTGCAGTGTGGAACAGTCCCTGGCGACTTCTAACAAAGGAGGTTAGGCTGCTTTGTAATCGGGCCTCTTGCGGTCTATTTATGAGTCTGCATTGTTGCTAAGATCCAGTTGAATAAACAGGGTTTGCAATGTTCTGCTTTTTCAGTGAAAGTACCCACAGGATGTATAACAATCTAGATGTAGATTGGTGACAAGAAGAACATGAATAAACTGCTGTTGGTCTGCTGCTGTGTGAACAGAGAAAAAGAAAAACGTACCTGGACGGAACTGCTTTACGAGGACAAAACAGTGTGAGGTGGTGTTGAAGATCAGCACCGATACACTAAGAGAAGGAGACAAAAAAGAATAGCACAGTCAGAAAACATTTGCTATAGAAAGTCCCTGCCTAAATTATATACACTGCAGCTCATTTCTTGAACTTTAAGAGGACTAAGTCTGGACCCGTTTTTTTGAATTCCTCATGATGGAATCACCAGTGATCAGAAAGAAACGGGCAGGAGTCAAGGTTTAATAGATTTAAAGAAATGTCTGCCCATGGAAAATTCAGTATTTATTTTGAGATGGTTGATAGATATAAAATTATTCTCTGATGTAAATCTGAAATACAACGTCAAAACACACAAATCGCTACAAGGACAAGAAGTGACCTGGAAGTGACCTGGTACTAACATGAAGCAGATTAAGCAGTATAGCACAATAATTACCAGTCATAGTTATGTGCTTGTGGTTATTGCTAATGTTCCTTTGTGCAAAGTACATACTGTGCCTCTGTTTTGCAGTCAAGCTTAGACAAACAGATGTAGCATCTCCTGCATTCTCTTTTTTTATAGCTTTTCAGCTAAAGTAATTTTGATTCTAAACAAATTAAAGAATTTTAGCGCACACTTTTGAAAACTGTAACACCTCTTTCCCTTTCTCCACCTGTGGCCAAAGCACTTGAATGACAGCACTTCTCGGGAGAGTAGGTGCTGAAGAGATGTTTTGGCTTCCACAGTCGCAAATCTGGCCTCAAAAGCCACTTATGCATTTATAGCACAGAGACGAGGCAGCTGAGGTAACTATATAAGATTCTCCCATCAGTCCTAACTTCTCTTGACACTGTTAATTGCCACTTCATCTGAAGAGCTGTTGTCATAACAACCCTCCAATATCAAAGATAATATTGCTCCGAAGTTCATCCGTAACCAGCTGCAGCACCAGCAACTGTGACAATAAGCAACAAGACACTTCTCTGCATTGTGTTTGGGTTCAGACGTTATAAAATTGAGAACACAGTGACCTCTTAATTAATCATGCAGTATAATAAAATATTAGAAAAATAAAGCTGAGATTGGATTTTGAAATCTTTCACTCTTGCACATTGTTGAGAGTGAACACTTATATGAATATAAGAGAGCTGAGACTTTACTTTGCATAGTCTTGAGTCCATATGACCAAAGGTTTATATTTGAGCATTTATCACAAATGAGAAGGAACTGAATTTTTGGATGAATGCAATGTCAAACTAATAACGTTGTCCACTAACAAACTGAGCTGCCATCCAAACACAATACCATGTCGCGTGTATTGGATGTTTCCTGTTGCAAAGCACTAAAAATAAAGTGATACCAAAATACACTCTGTGCCAAAATTATATTTCTAAGCTAAGAGGCTCACATTGTTGCAGAGTTTCATGATGGTTCTCAAGAAGCCGGATGTGGAGATAAAATAAAAAAGGAAGGTCAGTGTGATATGCTTCAGCACTGGCACCCAGTGAACCGTGTACACACAGGTGGGTCACTGTGAGTGTGTGTGTGCATGCGAGTGTGACTGTCGCTGCCTGTGGAGACTCGAGTCCTGGGGTCAGTGTTGGGAAAGCGGATGCGTCTCAGGCAGCAGGAAGCCCTGCCCTGGCTTTCCCATGGTAAAAGGAACCAGGAGATTGCTGTTACAAAGTCTAGCTGCAGCTCCTGGGCTGATATAATTAAATGTCTGTTTGCATTTTGCCTTTCTACTTTTTCATTTTCGAAAGCATTTAATGCCAGTTGCCTTCGTTCGTCATTGCTAAGGGGATATTATGATTTCTGGTTGTTGTCACAGTTTTACATCTGCAACCGGTTTGATTCAATACATCGAAGGTTTCATTTAAAATTTCTGTTCCTACCGGTGTGAATAAAAAAAAACAAACAAAAAAAAGCAGTTTACTGCAACTGACTTCTAGTTTTTGCAGCTCCAGCCCCAAGTATGATAACACTGTGCTCAATAAATAACGATCTTAATACTTCCAGTGGGCTAAAACAAAAACCAAATATTCAAAGAAGCCAGTGGATAAACCAAATTAACTCTTATTTTGTTTGGAGTCAGGTGGCACATTGTCACTGCCATGTGTGCATGCACAGTAACTGAATATGGCAAATTAACTCAAGTACATCATGCTTCAGCTTTTTTTTGCTGCTTGATACAAAAAGAGCACTTGCACGGATCTAATTTTCCATGACTAATCTACAAGAGAAGTCTGTGTGATGGAAGGAGTTCTTGGATACAGATTTTTTTTCCCCTCAATACAGGAGTTTGTTGACGTGACGGTGCAGGTTCTACATGTGCACAGTGACATGAGTGAGAAACAGAAGGGAAACATTGAAAAGGAAGATTTGGTTGCAAAAAACAAATGCAGTGCCAGTTTTAGGGCTGCAAAATGAATGACATATCACAATTTTAGCTTCCTACAATTAAATCAACATGATCAATACTGACGTTTAAAATGCTCTGCCCACAGAAAATTCAGCCCATAGAGGTAAAACCATTTGGTTTGATCTTGGGTAAACCTGACATTAGAATGCCCTATTTTACTCTTTACAAACTAATTATGGGTCTCCAGTGATCTGAGTTTCTCTGTGCAAAGCTGCCAAGCTAGCTTCTACTACAGCCTGCAAGTGAGGCGTTACAGGAACATCAGTAAACTGTAGTTTCCTTCAACAAAGAGATATTCAGCAAGTTAGTCTTATTGTAGATTTTTACATTAGCAGGGAGGTAGCACAACCCTGAAGTGAGAGCAGTGCTCTGTTTCTTTAAATGTGAACTTGCAAAACAATATTTTGTCATCAAAATTAACCAAAAATCCGCCTCAATTTGTAGGTTCAACCACCAGTCAGCAGACACTTTAAAGTCAATAAAAATCCCTGACCTGACTGCACACAATAGTTGAACCTCAAAGTAAGTCTCCAAATAAATGTGTCTTCCCTGGAAGTTTTTAAAAAATTCTGACTGCTCTTCTTTGTTACTTCATGGATCTATTTAAGCATTCCAATTTTCACCAGTTACCCTTGTAAGTCCAATGGCAGTAATGAAACCAAAGCTACAATAATAAAAGCAAAGTAGTTGTAAAAATTTGGGGAAAAATGTTTTCTCTATCACTCCTTTCTTTGCGCTTACTTCCTTGAAAGAGGACACAGAGCACACTTTTACACTTGCTTTTTCCTGAAAAAAAATGTAAATAATAAAAATAATAATAATAAAGCTTCACTTCTTACTCCACCACACCAATGCCTTTGTCTTAGACCCTATCCACAGATAATGTTGATATTTCTGAAGGAGTGTAGCTGCCAAATTTCAGGCAACCGCCAAACATCAGAGCAGTAAAAAAACAAAAAACAAAACCAATGCGTGTAAAAAAGAAAGAGGAAAAGACAGTCTTGTAGGGGGAATATTACCATCGAGCGCCAGCATGGATAAGATAATGTGGGAGACCTAGACAGAAAGTGGGACACACAGGCCTGAGGCGTGGGAGCCGTCCCTTGCGGCAGGTCTGGGTCTTGTAGTGCTGTTACACACCATTTCTGCTGTTCTACTGCTTCCCGCTGAAAAAAAAAAGCTCTAATGGTTAAACCAAGAAGCGAGCTAAACGGACGCTTAGGACTTTTCATGCACGGTTAAGCTTTCTCTGCAGGGCTTCTGGCTGAACAGCGGGAAAACTGGGTTATGGCAGACATATGAGGAGGAGGACTAAGGTGACTGACTACTGGTAGAAAGCTTATGGTATCAAGATGAAATCATGAGGTCCTAGTCTCCCACACACACAAAAAAAATGGCTCAAGCGCTCTATAATCAAACTTCCACTGCCAGAAGTGACATTGAACATAACCAAAACGTGCTGCTTTAATCCACCATCTTTGGTCTACATATGAGTTGGTTTACATCAAGATGTACGAACACCTAATTTCTCTGACAATCAAAACTGTTCTTGACTACTTTTATATGTACGTTATTAAAAGTTACTTATACTAATTACACACATACCACCCCATAACTACAATCAAATGATTCAAAACTGTATTATATTAGAAAAACTGAATCATTGTTTGCTTATCAAGTAGAGTATTTCCTCTGATGACCAATACAAAACACATTCTTTAGAAAGACTACATTTAAAAATAAAGATCCCAAAGTAGAAACTCAATGCAACAAATCTGAGTATTATGCCTAACTGCATAACCCTGGTTATAAAAAGACCTGCCAGAACTCTCTCAGTTTTGGACATATGGGCTGTATCTATCTATCTGCATGTCTGTTTCTGGGCTCCACGTGGAAAAAAGAATGCCAGAAAAACTGGAAAAAAAAATCTGTGAAAACACAGTTGCAGCAGATGAAGACGTACAGAATGAGTCATAGTACCACTAATCGGCGCTGTAATGGTCGTCCCACTAAAATGACGCCACAGACAGTGCACAATGTGTACAGTCTAGCTCTCAAAAACAGATAAGTGCTTCAGACTTGAGTTATTAAACGGAAATCAGAGTTTCTGTAACAGCTCAGACAGTGTTAAGGTCATTGCATAAAAAGATAAAATCGCTCAGCTCAGATGGGGTTCAGCAGGTTTGGGATGGACCTGGCTCCAACAACCATAGTGAACACATAGTCCACACAGTGAAGCATGGAGGAGGGAGTGTGATGAAAAGGGGTTGCATGAGTGCAAAAGGTATTGGGGGGGACGTGACATTTACAGATGACACCATGAATGCCTGTGAATATACCAAAACACTGGCTAACAAGATGACTCTGAGTCTGCAGAGCTTGGCAGAAGAGGAAAATTCAAGCATGATAACCATCCAAAACACGCGGCCAAAATCAGAGAGAAAAAAAATATAAGAGCTGAATGTTGGCAATGAAAGGTGTATGGGCTTTAGGTTCCACTGTGGGATCTGTATTTTTATAATGGTCAATTCAAACAGCTATTTTTTTATTATTGAAATGGTCAAGAGTCAAAATAACACAGAAATGTAGAATTCAGTCCACACGTGTTTTTGTAGTTTTAGGAAAAGGCTCACGACTGTGTTTTGGTTGCTCTGCAGGGATATAGGGTGCCAGGAGACTGCAGGTCAGCCCTACTAGTGTAAACACAGTAAGAGCTTTGTCCAGATAAGTGGTAGTCAATGAAGCATGTTCTCTCCTAGTATTTAAAGCAGCTGAATCTCCAACCTCCAAGTCGAAGGCTACGCTACATTTGGCGGTGGATTATCCTCTTCAGGGTGGAAATGAATTGTTTCCCAAATGGAGAGTTTCAGTATCTTAGAGTTGAGGGTAAAGATTTCACATCAGAGCTGTTTCAGTCAACAAGAGGAAGAATTCAGAACAACCACAAAATGTGTGGAATATTTATGAATATGTGGTATCTCATACAGTGGGTGTAAATCTTGGGATGCTTGAGAGGGAGATAAAGGACATGGATGGGGAGAAGGACTGCAACCCAGTTATACACTGAAAAACATGTGGATGAAATCAGACCACATTTTGAAAATTATCATTTAATTTTTGTTTGTCGTCTTAAATGCCAGATTTTAAAAATTCAAATAGTTGAATAGTCCACATGAATTTATCAAAATAAGCCAGGTAGATGACAGATGTCTGCTCACAAGAACCTCCAGTCAGCCATTTACCAAATTAAATATCTTCTTCTACATTGGCCATAACCTCTTGCAACCTTTGATCAAATCTGTCTTTCACATCTTTTTGCTAGTTTTCCTCAAGGGCAGCAAGTAGAGTGTGCAAAACGAATCCTACTGAGAAGAAAACATTATGCACACTTACACAAAAATGCAAAACAACCCTATGTCCATTCAATACATGGTAAAGGGGGGGGAAACATCCTTTAGAATTTCCACATGGGGAAGAGCTCCGTGTTCCCATGGGGAGTCTTCTCTTGGAAATACGGGTTGGAGGTTTACTGCTTTTCTCTCAGTGGTACTCATTTTTCATGAGGACCTCTCTTTGGGGTCAGGAGTGGAGGAAAGAGGCCTGAAATGGCCTGAGAGTTACCTCAGGGCATTAAGGAACTGGGACTTTGGCACAAATGTGTGATATTTCTCTTACAGTGCCCCCCGTGAAGCCAGACATTTACAGCTATTTCCACACAGAATTACAGGGCGCCAGTTCTCATAAAACAAAGTCTGTTTAGGCTGACCATCCTCTGAAAACAAGGAATTCGTAAGAGATGCAAGATCATAAAGGTATAAAAAAAGGAATAGCACAAGATAACCTCATAACAGCTACATGAGAAAAGAATACAAAAACAAGCAAAGCCTCATGATTCACACAAAACATTAGCATATTAGTATATTTATATATTCTACACGACATCACACAAAATAAAATAAAACATTGTATATTCTACGTCTGCTTCCATCAAGATTTGTGGACTTATCTTGACTTAAAAAGTGATCCTGCAAGCAAAAGGGCAAAAGATGGAGATTAGATATAAGATTTAAAGTTGAATGAATCAAGCTCCTTTGTACTCTATCCAGTCTCACTTGCTGATCCCTGAGAGCTACATGGGACTCACATCCTTTAGGGACCAGTTCTTCAAACTGCAAAACATCATCAAAACATCATCTGACAAACTTCGGTCATACTCAGAAATAAATAGTGAAGCTACGTGCTAACAAGCCAAGCAGGGTTCTGTTTCAAGCCGCATCAGTGTCTGTGACCCGTCTTGTGTAGTCTGGTTTTATTTGGTGACTGATTAGTTCACCAGCAGGCTGAACTGTCTCTTTGTTTAACAACTGGTGGACAAGGACACAGCTTCCATTTACACTCGCAAATAAACAGCGTTTTACCTGTCATGGGTTCGCATGAAGTCCCAGGATTTCTTTGTGCCATTCTGTAAAGAAAAAAACAGAAAAGAAAAGAATGAATAAAATATTTTTCCCTCTCAAACGCTGTGGTTCCACGTATGTCCCGTATGTGACTTGCAGTGAAGGATGTCAGATCGCCTTTTCGTATTTATTGTGATTGCTGCAACCAGTGGCCCCGAGTGCTTGCTTAGACATGAAAGTCATACCACAACCCATCAAAAATGTCTGCAGCTGCAAAGAAAAACACCACGAAGAAATGAGCACAAGTGAGAATTTGTGTCGCGTCTTTCCGTCGTCCACTTCATGTGAATTTAACTGTTCAAAAATATTTTATGGCATTGTTTTTGAAAGCATCTTCCCTTTACTTTTTATGGTTTGCAGGGAGAGATTCCTGGTGACTAAACGCTGAGACACGTTGTCTAATTGTTCATGCTAAGTAGCAAAACTTGTTGTATTTCTTTTATTGCCCTTTGGTCACATCAATCAATCAGCCAGTCAGACTTTTGTACAGCTCTTTTCATACAAACACAATGTTACATAAAGTGCTTTACAGAACAAAAGGAAACAAAACAAACAAAAAAAACTATTTATATAGTCAATCCTGCAGGTAATAAAAGTGCACGGTGGTGCCTCTGTATTAGCTTAAGAGAGAAGTGGTTGCATTCTTGCATCCTTAGCTGTTTCTAAAGTTCAGAACTGAAATTTGAGTCAAAGGTGAAAATGAGGTTGTTTGCTTGGAGACATGGGTTTAAAGACAGCGGCTAATGGCCACCTGCATCCAAAGGATAAGGGGCACGGCTTTGAGGACAGAAATGTTCACATTCTGGACAGAAAAGACAAAGAAGGAAGACATCTATGTTAAACTGGAACAGCATCTCTGAACGGAGGAGGTGGTCTACAACACCAATTATCATGTACCTATGAGTTCATTCAAACGTTTCATTACCATTAACATCTTGACTCATCCCTCGCCTCTCAGTTTCACAGCCGTCCACACCTCGAGGCATGCGAGTCTTGGGTCATTAAGGGGCATGACAGTTGGGGGTGATAGTATATGACTGGGATTAGTCAATGAGAACTAAGGAAGTCTTTTGGTTGAGAGGTGAAACATCCTCAAAGGCAAAAAAAAAAGAAGAGAAGTCCAGTTGCTTTTTACTGGAGCTTTTAGGATTAGCATGGCCTGGATGGCTGCAAATCCACACAGATAGCATTTTGTGAGTGCAGAGTTAGCATAACCAATAAACTGGAACTTATATTTAACATCAGGTATTTAATTATGTGCAGCAGAACTGGTAAGTCTGGCAGCAGACAATAGCCACTACCAAATCCACCATTTACTTTTGTTTGAGCTACAAACAACAGTGTCGGGCTGTCCGAGTAAATTATTTAGTCCTTAACAAAAGTAAATTCATAGCACATATATTGGCTACCCCTTCTGAAAAGATTTACATTGATAGGAACCAGTGGGATTGAAGCTGAGTGCCTCACATGAGGAACAGAAGTCAGAGGAAGAAATAAACTATCACACTGCTGACAATAAAAAAAAAAAAATACACATATCTAAATATTTGATACTCAACATGCAAGAACCACAAACAAACCCCATGTGTGAATTAACCACATTAACTTAACACATAGTCCTCTGTTCACATCGCATGCTGTATAAATATGGTAAAGTCGGCCTACATTTTCTATGCCTGAGGAAATATGGCCTTGATTCAAATTTAGGCTACACCTCCTCTCCACCCACAAGCTCTTACAGACGCAGGGATGACAGCTTTACTAGAACAGGCTTATTTCAGCTACAATAAATCTGGTGCGTAAGGGTGCAGTTTCACTACCACCCAAGAAAAGTACAGAGGTGAAGCAGCAAGCTAATTGCACTGATTGAAACTAACATTATAAATGCTCTGCTGGAGCAACAGGATCTGAGCTACAATGGGTCAAAGATGTACTCAATGTGCAACTTTTTCCCCCAGGAATTTTATCTAAAAGGAATAAACCCTGACGGATTGGGTGGGAGTTTGTTTCCTCTCAAATGGAGTTTAAACGACAACTCTCTGATATAATCTCCTCAAACAAGAGTGCGAGCTTCAGAGCCTGCAGAAGGACCCTAAAGCCTTGATTATACTATCTCAGGGATATGCACAAGATGCGGACACCACGGATGCGTAGTTGTTGTTATTATAAAACACTGGTACTCTGCTTGGATGACTCAGTGGTAGATAAGTATTCCACACATGCACATTCAGGGTATGTACACTACTGCCCTTGTAGCAGCCCTGTCTTCATAATATGGTTCTATACAACTAAACCACATTCTCTACTTCAAACATGTCTTTTTTTTTTTTTTACTTTTAACGGTTTCTGGTGTACATTTAGCGCAGGTACAGAAAACGGTTAAATGACCGGCACAGGACCTTACAGGTTGGTCACGTGGCCTTTATGTGACGCCAAGCTAGCGTAATGCTTTACATGCAACATTAACTGTTCTGTTGTGGTGTGAAATGAGAGCATGGAACGTGCGTCTACATTCACTTTTGGTTTTGCTTTGACACCACCTTCATCTGCTGTAGAGGCAACATCAGGCTTAGGGAGAGTTTGTCTACAGCTGTATGCCAAGCTGAGAAGAAATTCTCTGAGACAGTTCTAATTCATGCGTCCAACTAAATTGTTCATATTAAAGTAATTTATTTTTCCTTTGTCAAAAATGTATTTTGGATTTACTCCAGTCATTCTATTTATTGCTCCAACAGTAAAAAGTTCTGGTCTACTGGTGCAATGTTATCAAATGTGTAAGGGTTAGAGCAGCAGCAATGTATCAGATAATAGACAAAAAACTATTCTGCAACTATTTTATTACCCATTTAAGTTATCTTAAACATCAGCATTCACTATTTCCATCTTTTCCTGTGTCATAACTTATTGTTTCTTTTTGTCATATATGACTGCACACTCAGTATCTTTTTTTTATTGTTGAAAAATGAGAGCAGCAGTGCTACCAGTTATGGATGCTCTCACTTTCAGCCTGTTAGTAAAGCACTGGCATCATATCATGATGGATGTTCTTGCTGCGCTGCAGACCGTCCACTGGGTGTAAATCCTCTCACAGAATCCTGTCATGTCAACAATTTGTGTCGATGCCTTACACGCCATCCTAAACAAGGCCAAGCCAGCCGCACCCCTTTCACTTTTCCTCTGAGAAAGCAAAACTAGTGTAAAGAAGGCGTGTGTGTGATAAATCATTTGTCCTGACTGAGGCGGGGATGCACTTCTTGTGGCTTGGTGCTTTGTATAAAGTCCTTGCTGAATAATGTATGAAGCAGAATGCTTTTCCTGTCACTGAACCACGAACAGGTAAATTATAGGGTATTGTAAATTATAAGAAAGATAAACAGCAGGGCTGTTAGGCCCTTAAACCTCTCTATTCTGCTCAGTCCTGACTATGTGTCAAACTGATGTTCCAACATTGTGCTGCTGCACAGTGCACACTTACAGTAGCGTAGTAGGATACTCACGTACACAGTCATGTAGCCACGTGAACAAAGCAGAGTTCCTATCTTATCGTTAACATTCACATAATTGTGAGGTAATTGTTCTAGTATGTGCTAAGTAGATAATGACAGTGCTTTGTTGTGGTTTGTTGTTTGAGGCAATCATCAGCCAGAACCAGACAACTCCTTTATCTAGTTCAAAAGACCACAGCAAATGAAACAAACATGAAATCGGTTGTGTGGAGGTATTTAATGATCATTAAAAGCCATCTAAGCTCTGCTGGCTCTACAGTAGCAATTCAGAAGTGCTCACCAAAGTAAAAGCTTCAAAGTTTGCACAGCCCTGAATAAAAACCAGGTGATCCTAAAAGTGGGTTTATGTTGAGGGGACAGCTGAAGGACACACCATGTACGACTGCAGGTTTAAGCCGCCAGTGAGTGAGTCACCAGTGGCAGCATTGGTGGCTCATTTCAGTTGGTGTGGTGCTTCCACTAGCTGCTTGTTACAGTTTAAAAAAAAAAAACTTTAGTACGGGAACTACTAGGACCTGTACTCCTCCAGAATGAGGAAAAGGGCAGCAAAAATCCTCTCCGACCCCTCTCACCTGACACCAATTTTTTGAACTGCTGCTTTCAGAACTCTGCACAACGGAACATTGAGGCACCAGGACAAGTTTTCTTTTTCCCCACAGGCCATCTTCCTCATGAACCAGATAACCAAAACAGACTCTTCAAATAACAGACTCGTGAACGATCAATAGTTTAATCTGCGTGCAATTTTTTCAGTGCTGTAATTTATTTGATCTGTTATGTAAATACAATGCCACATTTTCTCTCTTTTTTTGTGAATTCTATTTTTATGGCTAAAGCTATTTTTATAATACTTCTTAGGACTTTAGATTAAGATTTCATATTTATTACTTACTGACCCTGTGTTGTCTTCTTGTTTTAGTAGCCCTTTGTGAGTGCTGTGAGTTTCATGTAACCAAAAGCCTTGTGTGTACGAGTTCACTTGGCAATAAAGCTTTTCTGATTCTGAAATAACAACAACCTTCGAGCAGCAACCTACCACACTAAAAAGTTTTGCAGAGGATGTGAATCATGCAGTGAGGCAGCCATACTATTTGTTTTTCACTGCATTATCCATATTATTGACAAAGCTCGTCTCCCTGCCAGCAAATGTTCAACAAAAACAATCCCATTTGTCACTGTTTTGAAGGACCGCCTTCGTTTAGCTTGACCCATGACTGTGATTGGCTTGAAGAAATGCAAACAAGCCAGAGCTTCTTTTGCGTCACAGCAGAATGACACTGAGGTGCAGCCTGTCCATTATGTACTACAGAACGGGCTGACTATGCAAGACTAAAGTAGCCTTTAAATTGTCCAAATAATTAAATTAGTGGAATTACAACCAGCAATGTAACTACTAGGGCTAGGGTTTGATGAGGCTTTACTCAATTCACTCATCAAACCAAATATTAAGATTAGCATTCATCTTTTTCAAGCAGTAATTTCACGATGGTCACCTGTTG